CCCAAGCACCCCCACGACCTCCCCCAGCACCCACGATCCCCCCCACCCAGAGCACCCCTACCTCCCCATCAGCATCGTAGACCTTCAGCCCCTGCAAGCTGAACCTCAGCACTACCGACCTCCTCCTGGGGCAGTCCTGGCCGGCAGAGATGCAGTGTTGGGGGGTGGTCACCTGAGGGGTCCCCCCCAGTTCTTGGGGTCCCACCCAGTTTTCCGATGAAGGGGGTGGGGAGGATGCCCAACCTTCAGTTTCTGCAGCTGCTCCTCCAGCCACCCCGCTTGCTGCTGCAGGTCCAAGTCCTCCACCATGAAGGAACCCACATACTGAGGGGGAGTGAAACCCACCTATGTTAGGAATAACCTCCTTCCCCCCCCCACGATGCTGTAATTGCCCCCTCCAGGGTAGTTGGACCACCTTAAGATGATGGTTGGGGGGACATCACGGGGTTGCACCTGCACCCAAACCTCATCTCAGGGTGCGTGTGTCCCCACCCTGTGGGTAAATCACCTCTGCTGCCTTGGCGATGCCCCGGGCTCGGTGCTGGGGGGGAGCAGGATCCGGACCCCTCCCGTTGGTTGGTTTCTTCTTCATGGTGGGGGGGGTCAGGGTGAAGGCTGGAGCTGGGTGAGGTCAAGCAGGTCCCGTGGTGCCACATCCAAATTATCCGGAGCCACCCAGGGTGGCGCAGCGGGAGCGAGCGGCAGGAGCCCAGATCTGGCTCCTGGTCATGGTCCCTGCGAGGAGGAAGGGGACAGACACAACCTGCCCCCACTGTCCCCACCCCATTCCAGCCCCCTGGGCCCCCAGGTGATGCTGCGTCTCCATATGGTGGCCCCTAAATCCTGACCCCACAGCACATGTCCCCAAGTGCCAACCCCAAAACAAGGGTCCCTCCAAAATGATCCAAATAAAGGGGTCCCCAGTCCTGACCCAACGTGAGGGTCCGCCTGGGAGGAGGAAGGGGACAGACACAACCTGCCCCCACTGTCCCCACCCCATTCCAGCCCCCTGGGCCCCCAGGTGATGCTGCGTCTCCATATGGTGGCCCCTAAATCCTGACCCCACAGCACATGTCCCCAAGTGCCAACCCCAAAACAAGGGTCCCTCCAAAATGATCCAAATAAAGGGGTCCCCAGTCCTGACCCAACGTGAGGGTCCCTACATCCCCACCCTGAGCACCATGCAAGTGTTCCCATGTCCCAGCCCCCATGTGCATCTCAGCTCCAGCACAAGGGTCCCCCAGTGACCCCAAGTGCCATGCAAGGGTCCCTGAAGGCCTGATGCTGGTACCAAAGTCCCCATGTCCCAATCCTGGTGTGAGGGTCCCAGCCTGACCCAGAGGGTCCCCCTGTCCCAGCAGGGTGCAGACAGTCCCCACGTCCTGCCTCCCAAAGCAATATGAGGGTCCTCAAATCCTGACCCCAAACATGCTGTGGGTCCCCACAACCCACCCCACGTAGTCCCTGCACCCTGAGCACACAGCCCAGACCCCACGCGAGGGGGGCTGACCCACACCCCGAACCCCAGTGACATTCTGGGGTCCTCCCCAATCCTGACCCCTCCCCAGAGATCCATCCCACCCCCCACGCAGCACTGAGACCCCCACAGCCCATTCCTTGGGGAACGATCCCTGGCTCCCTGAGACACCAGCGATGAGGGAGAACAGGTTTGGGGGTGCTTGGGCCAGAGCACCCACCGAGGGGTGCGCCCGGCCCCCCTCCGGCCACCCAAAGGGGTTTCTCCCTCTGCAGCCCTGGGCTGGGCTGAGACCGGCGCAACTCGTGTCACCGAGGCCGCAGCGGATGGGGGGGCCCCGAGGGCCACCAAA